GATGCTATGACAAGCTTAAGAAAAGCAGCTTTTTAAATGGACTTCCCTGCCAAGGACAGAGGAAGGCACCCTGACCAATTGAGACCCGCACAGAAAGACGGAGGACTGGCCTGACGGACTGTGTAACCCCAGCACTGGTGACATTAGTGGGGGCGATCTGTGCATTGAAGGGTGTTGAGCAGCACCCCGGCCTCCACCCGCTGGTTGCCTGGGCACCCCTTCCCCTTCTCGAGTGTGAGGACCAAGATGTTGCCAGATGTCACCAAGTATCCCCAGAGGAGAGAAAGGAGACATAATCACCCTAACCAAGCACCTCAGACTCGTGCTACCGATGCAACTGATGGGAGATTTGAGAGTCACCAAATTAAGACCCCAAGGGCAGGGGCTTCCAGTAATGGCCCCAAACCTGCGGTCCACACAGACCATTGCTAGGAGTTGCCGCTGAGTGAACAACGGTGCAACTAGGACCCAGTCTCCGGCTCGTCATCTACCATGCCCAAGGTCCCTCAGTGGTTGGCGAGAGAGGGTTGGAGTATGGAGAGCTGCTGTGGTCAGCACATGTGGTAGAGGGCTCTATGTACCTCCCAAAATGGGGCCTGCTCCAGCCTTCACCTACTGCAGCCAGGGTCAGGTGGTCTCCCACAAGTGCAGGTGGGATCCTCTTCTTGATGGCTGCACCAGGCCCTCCTGCACAACCTCAGCTCTCAAGCCACATGGTGTCTCTCTGAGGGGCTCCCCTGGAACCTTGGCCTCCCCAGGGCTTCAATCCAGGGCCCAGGCCTCAGGGCCTGACAGCAGTTCCAGTCCAGCTGCCCAGCCCACAGGATGCACCTGGTGATCACTCCACCTACGCTGCCCTGCCACGCCCTCCTCTCTGGGAGCCAAGTCTGGTCTACACACCTGCAGTCCTTTCTGCCCATGTGCTCTGCCCTTTTCCACTTGCGCCTGGAACTGCGCCAGGGAGACACATCACTCCCTGAGCTGCCTGTTGATGGACTTGCAGACATAGATTAACTCTTGGGTTCACGCTGAAAAGCTGCTTAGCTGAGTCCCTTCAGGTGTCTGGCTAAGAGGGTTGAATCCTGGCTTTGTCCACCAGCCCCTGGGGTCTGCGTGATCCCTTGGCCCTAACCCACCAGACTCTAGCCCAGGACGTCAGCAGGCTGACCTCTAGGAATCTCCCAGTCCCTTCCGAGCCTCAGGCCCCCTCACAGGACCATATGTCCCGGACCTGCGGGGTGTTAGGGAGTCTCCAGCTCAAGGCCTCACTCTTTCCAGCTGAGCCTCACTCCACCTGGGAATTGTATTCATTCCAGAAATGTCTGGTACTTCCTCTCCATTCACTCACACACATTTAGAAGAAGCCTAAAGAGGGCAACTGTCACTTCCTTTATCCTCCTTACTTGAGAAGCATAAACCAGTCTATGCATTTTTATGGCCAAAACCACCCTCCTCAAAGCACGGCGCTCCCTGTGACCTGCCTCTGCTGCTCTTGGCATAGTCTCCCCTGCCCAACTCAGTCCAGGACAGAGCAGGCAGCACCCACACTGCGGGCACACCTCTCCCGAGTGACCTCGGCCACGTCACAGTGTTGCTGGATTTTTCAGCCAAACTGTTCAGGCCTAGTTATGCCCCAAGTGCCGGATGCTGAGGAAACCCAGGTGCATATCTTTCCAGATGGCCCAGAGTCTAGTAAAGGGAGCCCAAAGCAGACATGTCATGGGAGGGGTGGCACTGAGGCTATGGGGGAGTCAGGAAACTCAAGGAGTGGAGACAGTGGGAAAGAGAAAGAGAGCGCTCCCCAGGGAAGGGATGTGAAGACAGGGGTCAGGGAGATGCGGCACGTCTCCATGGTGGATGTGTGAGGATGGCAGAGGTGGCGTGGGGCAGGTCAGAGATGCTAGAACCTGCAACAGGGACGGGAGGAGAGCAGACACAGGTCACGGCACATGGACACCAGTGATGAAACGTGGACCTAGACTGACCTTGGGGTGAGAGAATTGGGGTGTAGGAGGAAGCTAGCCAGCTGGGGTGTGGGAGGAACCCATGCAGGGCCCTCTTGGATAGGGAGAGGAATCAGGCCAAGTGCAGGGAGTCGGGGGTGGGGGGAAGGCGAGGTGGATCCTGGAGGGCACTGATACTCACCTGGTCCAGACGCAGCTCCAGGTGTGTCCAAGGTCAGCATGTGTCAGCCTCCAAGTGCATCACAAGTTTCTCCCCCATTTCACAGAAGAAGCGACTGAAGAATGGTAGGAGAGTGTTACCTAGCAGCTAATGAGAGGCCATGCTGGAATTTGAGCCCAATATTTAACCTCCGCCACCCATGGGGGGGCTGTCCCTGCAGAGGGCAGGAGGCCGACAGGGGTGGCCCACGGTTGCAGAGCACTTGCACACATGCCAGGCCTCTGCCCCAAGACAGACCCAGAGTGTAGGCTCTGAGTGGGGGACACTCAGGGGCGCTAAGCATAGACACCACGTGGAGGCAGGAGAGAGCCCATAAGGGGTGACTTGCTGACAGCATGGGCTGCAAATACAGCAGCTCTGAGAATTCCTTGGATGGTCAGAGCCCTCGAAGGAAGGTTCAACAGAGGGTTTGTGGAGGGTAGAAGGTTGACAACGAGTCTGAGTCAGGAAGACAGAGGAATCCAGCAGAGTCGAGGGCCACAGGTCTCTGAGGGTGTGGGGTAGAAGACACAGTTGGGAGAGAGGAGAGAGGCCGCAGTGAGCATTTAGGGGTAGAGGTGGAGGCCAGCATGGGTCCGAGGTCAGTGTGAAGCTGAAGTTGGATGAGGTGAAGCTCTTCTTAAGTCAGGAAAATGTTTCAGCAACTCAGACACTAAGGTGAGACAAGCCAGATGCAGAGTCCACAAGGCCCTGGCAGAGAGCAGGACACAGGCAGAAGTGACCGGCAGTTATGATGATGGTGGACAGGAGATGGGGTGGTGCGGAGTTTCCAGGGGTGTGGACCTGCGCCCCAGGGACCCGGAAACACCAGCCCTGCTGCTGTTGACAAATGGACAGCCTCCACCTCAAAGAACTTAGTTATTTATAACATCAAGTAGTTGGCGAGCATTTGAGTTGGCCATCTCTGAATCTCCAAAAAAGTGCCTTGAATATTATCAGTTTTCAATAATTTTCCTTAAGGGATTGATTACCATCCAGGGAAAAAGTCTTTCAGGAAAAAAAAGAGGGTTTTAGATGTTTCTAAAGGATCTTAGATGTGTAGATTGGCTGATAACCATCTGGCCTCCCTTCCCCTGTTTTCTATCCCTTGATTTTCTTTGCAGAGCATTCCTTTAAAAATGAATCCACATCATAGATTTTAATATGCAGTTTTTATGCCTTAAAACTCAGGTCATTCTGACATGACAAACTCATTTTGTTTTGTTATTTGTCAGTGTTTACTTGGGATAGCATCTGAGAGTTACCTTATTTGGAAAATCCATTTGTACAGATTAAAAAATAACCTGAGGAAGCATAAGGAATAGGGAGGTACGCATCACTTCTTCCCCATTTCACAGAAGAGGCAACTCTGTTACCCAGAGACTGACGAGAGGATATGTTGACATCCACAGAACAGACCCTTGGAAGTCACATGCTTCCACATGTAGCAGCAGGGTGGCATTGCCCAGGGCTGTGTTTCCCATGGCCCATGTTTCCCGGGGCTGGTATTGTTGGTCCAGAGCTGGTGTTTCATAGGGCTGGTGTTTCTCATGATTGGTGTTTCTGGGGCTGGTGTTTCCCGGGGCCGGTGTTGCCCAGGGCTTGAGCTTCCTGGGGCCAGTGTTTCCCGTGGCTGGTGTTACCCAGAGCTGGTGTTTTACAGGGTTGTGTTTCTGGGGCCGGTGTTTCCCAGGACGGGTGTTGCCTAGAGCCCAAGTTTCTCAGGGCTGTTGTTTCTCAGGACTGTCGTGCAGTCTATCCTCACAGAAGACACCGAGACAGACATGCATGCTTCATCACCATACCTCACAGCAGGCTCGCTCTGCTGCCAACTGTGTGTGGGGATGTGTTTGCCATGTGTGGTAGTGATGGGGCCAGAATTCCCTCAAGAAGCACTTTTATGAGTTCTTCCTTTCAAGATAAAGATAACCAACTGTCATGGAAGACCAATTCCCACTGAAAGAGTGTTAGGACTAGTTTATTCACTCTATGAAAGTGAGTCACACCCAGAGTCTGGCAAACACATCCTGTGCATTTTGGTCGCATCCCAAAGACAAAACATAATCTTTATCTCCAAATGCATGTATTTTTCTGTGGCTGATTGGCTGTCCTACCAGAGATTAGAACCCTGCATGCATTGCAGGTCAGGAGGGGCCATGCTGGTGATGGGCCACAGGGGAGGGTGGTCTGGTGGGCATGTTCATAGAGCTGGCATCCCTATCAGTCCTGGTTGGGCACGTTCATAGAGCTGGTGTCCCTTCCCGTGGACTTTCTGCAACTTGTACCCTTCAAACCTGCACATGTAATTTTCTGACTTTATATATTTTCTCCATTACAAAAATAATAACTACTCACTATCATGACTTTTCAGAAATACAGATAGGCAGAAGGGCAAACAAAGCCCATATTGTCACTCGACGAGGACCGTGATTACAGTTTCTAGGTGCTGCTGATCTTTTATCATACAAGAGTTTCCATTCTAGCTCTGTCTGTATGGAGCCCAGCAGCCTGCCTGCTTTAACTTAGCGTGGCAAAGGGAGTGTTACCCGTAGTGCCATGCCCTGCATGAAATGATGCTGTGGCCACCTTCCATCCCGCAGGGCACACCTGGCCAAAGCATGACTCTCATGCTGGATTCTTTGGTGTTGTTATTTGTTGCTGTTACAATTGAATCCATGTAGATCAACCCGTTTTCCTCACATTCCCCATTGCTTTCTCAGGCTGGAGCCTAGGAATAGACTTTCTCCACCCTCCACAGAACTTGAGCACGTCAATGTGGTGGACCAGATGATGACAGGGAAATACGCTCACTGACTTGGAGTTTTCTTTTCTTACAGCTGTCTCATACACGAATTACAAGAAAACACCCCCGCCAGTACCTCCTCGGACCACCTCCAAGCCTCTGATCTCAGTGACGGCGCAGAGCAGCACGGAGTCCACACAGGATGCCTACCAGGACAGCCGTGCCCAGAGGATGTCTCCATGGCCCCAGGACAGCCGTGGCCTCTACAACTCCACGGACAGTCTGGACAGCAACAAGGCCATGAGCTTGGCTCTGGAGACGGCCGCGGCTCAGCGCCATGGCCAGGACAACCAGGGCAGCTCCGTGAGGACCAGGGACAAGGCCATCCTGGCATCCAAGGCCGAGGAGTTGCTCAAGGGCCGCTGCTCCTCCATCGGGATCCAGGTAGCCTCCCACGGCCTGCCATTCTGGCACACACACACCCACCTACAGATAGTATAGAGTAAGCCACAACAAGCCGGCGGCCCTGGGCCCCCCACGCTGGCCACAACCTCAGTGGGTGTGCAACCTGGTTAGGTCATATATCCACACTGCAGGCAGCCCCTGGGGAGCTGACCCAGTGCAGGGCTGAAGGAAGGGGCTCCAGCTTTGTACCCCTCCCCTCAGAAGACACCCCTCACCTGTGCCAATGGCAACTCAGAGAGTGTGCGGATAAGGTTATTGTGATCCGTACAGGTGGACTTCTGTTACAGTATGATTTTCCAAAAGCTTTTTGGTGTCATGGCCAGACATTTGAGTGGGGAGACCAAAGGGCACTGGGAATAAAAGGGTGGAAGGGAAAGCAGGTCCTCCTTGGTACAATATTGGGGAGTGCTCACAGCGACTTCAGGTGTAGGTACCCACAGGCCCCTCTGCACAGACCACTGGGTGTCCCAGCAGTGCTCAGCCAGTCACCCATCCTCTTCCATGGTTCCAGACCACAGAGGGTGACTGCCATCCATCCAGGCCCCAAACATCCACCAGATATAGCCATGGTGGTTGGTACCTCTCCCTGTAGACGAAGGGCTGTGGTCAGCACCTGCCCACCCCTCACCGCCCTGGAGGTCTGTCTTAAGTGCAAGGTGATTTCCAGACTCTGACACTCTCTATCTGTCTGGGCAACACCTGCGTTGGAGAGCTTGTGGACATGGTCAGGCAAGGCTGATGACCACGTCTTCTACCGATGCAGTTCACCTCTCACTTCCTTCTGCTCCTGCACTCAGCCTGCATGCGGTGGGCCGTAAAAATCCGATGCTTCCCCGCCACACGGCCAGAGTGGAGGGTGAGCTAGCACTGGTCATGGGCACTAGTGGGCCAGACGTAGGGGAACAGAGAGAGCGGGTGACCGCCCGGTCTCAGGTCTTCTGCATAGGTCCTACACTGTGGCTTCATTGTTTTGTTTAGGACTCTGAGTTCCCAGAGCACCAGCCATACCCAAGGTCAGATGTAAGTACCAAAACATGCTCCAAAGCCGAGTCCGCATGACTTTCATCTCTCCCTTTCTGGACTACCATCCGACTGCTCTTGTCGCCTCTCTGTCCTGATCCTATATGCCAGGCACTATGCTGGGTGCCCCCCTACCATTGCCAGAAGCTTGCTATCCCCATGATGAGTCGGCAGCCCCTCTCAGAAGAGGACTCAGGGGGCTCGCAGCAGCCACTTACCCACCCACCGCCCCAGGACATGCCCCAGCACTAGTCCCTGAGAGAGCCGCAGTGTGCACCAACCTCTTGGCTCAGAGTCACATCTGCCATAGAAATTCCAAGGTCCCCAAATTAAGAGGCGGTTGCACAGTCCAGCCATGCTCTCTCTGACTTTCTTGCTGCCGACCTCACAGGCAGCCTCTGGGACACTTGCCCGGCGTGCCCAGGCTATGTGTCGATGTCTGAGCCCATGGAGTTGCTGACTTCACCCAAAGGAGTGGGGACATGATTCCTGAAACCCATCAAGTCAGATCGCTGAGCTGGTGCAGGACACCCCACTTCCTGTCCCGCCACAGCTTGGACCCCCCCACACCTTTCCATGGCCCAAACCCCATTTGCTTCTAGCTCCCACCCTTTGCACGGTTCCTTCTGCCAAGCACGGGCTTCCCCCGTCCACCCAGCTTTGCCTTGGTGAGCTCAGTCTGCACACTGATCCCTTCCCAAGCCTCTCAGATGCCACCACCCAAGCGTGTTCTGTAAGCTGGGGATGGCGATGCCCTTCTTGGGGCCCCCGCACCTAGCACAGGGCCTGGCACATAGGGATGCTCGGTAAATGTTGGGTAATCGATTGGGCGGTTGAGTTGCCAGTGTATAGCTGGTGAGGACAGGTGGGGAGGCAGGATCGTAGGTAGAGGACCAGTCCGCCTGTCTTTTATGGCATTAAAAAAAATATGCAGCATCAGGTACACTTGTGCCCTCAGAGCTATCCAAAGGAAGTGAGTTGAATCAAAGGACTGAAGGGTCAGTATACAGAAAAGGGCCAAAGACATGGAAGACAGTGACTTAAGAAACCAGCCCAAAAAGTCAAGAAGGAAGAAATGGAAGGAAACAAGGGGTCAAGCAGATGAAAGAGTTGTCCGTGGACACCGGGGAGCATTGAGAGAATAGCTGCACACGTGCCAGTCTTGCCCCGGCACAGGTAGAAATGACACAATAGATAAGTGAGCAATGGGCAGGTCACTGCATCACTGCCTCTCTGCCAAGCGTCATTTAATCCTCACATTAGCCCCATGGGCCTGCTGTTATCATGCCCAGTCTGTGAATGGGAAACTGAGGCTCAGGAAGTGTACGTGACTTGCCTAAAGGCACACAGCCTAAGTGCTCACCAGGTAACCATGGGCAGAGTCTCATCTGAATGCAGACAGTAGGAGAATTTGCATCCTGGAAATGTTCTTACAACCAAGGAGCCCTCCTTCTACTGAACACACCTTCTGTGAGGTTCACGCCCTAAGTGACTCACTGATTTGTGGAGAGTGGCTCCCCAAGTTCACAGTCCATCACATGACTATTTACAGCCACAACGTGAATTATAACCGCTGGGCTCTATCTAACATGCTCCCCAGGGCGTGCCTCTAACCTCGGCTCATACTTCCTGTGGACTTAGCCCTCCTTCCCTGCCCAGCATAGACCAGAAGCCAGCCACAGCCTCCCGTTCCTGAGACGGCCGGATGCTGCAGCGAGTCTAGCCTTTACGATGGGGCATGCAGACCAGTCCCATCAGAGCTCCAGGTTTGCAGGCTGGATGCCTCTAGGAGAGAATCAGCCCCAGCCATGGTGCCCGTGGGCCCTGTCCTAGGGTGAGGACAAGCATGCTCGTGCCATTCAGAGCCTTCTAAGGCCATCTGATCTGGAACCCATCATCTGGTCTGACCTCGATTTTCTTCATCACAGTGGAACCATTTGACTGTTTTCTTTGTGTTCTGTCTTCCTGCTGCGGTCCGTCTGTTATGCTGGGTTTCTCATTTTCTGTTGTGTGTTTGAGTGTGTTTGTGACTCTGCTGAGGATGCTTGCTGCTCCCAGACTCCGCAGTGTGGTGGGAGGAGCCCTGGTTTATATTCTGGAACCCTTTGACCCCTTGTATCTCAGGAGCCTTGTCATTGAAATGGGGACAGCTGCCACTCTCTTTCAGCCAGGCTGTGAGATGAGGGGCAGCCCGGGAAAGCCCTGTTCATCCCTGTGACGGTCCTCCCGAGGTGATGCGTGCATGCCATGCTCCTGGTCTGCGACCTGCTCCTCCCCGCACAGAGTTAGAGTCCTGAGCACCTCGGGCTGCGGGACTGCCAAGCTCACCTCACTCTTGGCCCTAGAATAGGTCTCCGAGGGAAAGAGGAGTTTGTATCACAACAGTGCACCAGCCCTGCTGCACCAATGTCTCAAAGGTAGAGCAGTGAATGAGCTTGTAGGGAAAGCCCACACTGCAGTTACTGATAGTGAATGGCTCTTCCACCAGCCCCAGAGGACCCACAGAGAGCTGGGCTCAGGCGGGGCTGACTGGCCTCCACGATGCTGCAAAACCACGTCTGCGTGGAGATGGGATAGTGATTTAATTCTTTGTAATTCTCCATGCCCAGAACAGTCACCTAACCCAGAGTGGATCTCGCAGAGATGAATGTCTGCAGATATTTTTTCAAAACGATTCAGATTTCTAGCCTGGATTTTCTTAGAAGAAATCTCCTTTGAGTTTCCACTGTGCAAAATAGTAATTTATTTTCTCTGTTTTAAGTTTGCTTGTTGTTCTGTCTCACATAAAGTTGCTCTACTCCAGGATTTTCTGAGATCTAACTCCTCCTGGCCATTATGGTTTTACCACATCCCCCTCCCCCAGACTTCACCTTCCAGCAGTAGAAGTTCATTTCTTAGAAGGGTTGCATATAACAACCACTGTTAGATCTTGAAAATCCATCAGCTCTGTATTCCTTTAATGTATGGGGTGGCGGGCCAAAAAACTGGAATTATCTTTTGGAGGGCAGGTTCTTCATAGTACACTTGGAATGTGTTCCTCCGGGTCAGATGGTCAACCAAAATTTTTATCTGGAAGTTCTGAGAAGTCTGCATCATGACTTGCAGGGAAAAAAAAATCCCAAGTTATGGCAAACAGGTGACTGTTTTTTCTACCATACCTGCCCACATGGTGCTGATTGTTTAGCAGTTTTTAACCAAAAAATGGCATGACCCCATGCTTCACCCTCCCTATACACCCCATCGTACCCCAAGCAACTTTTTTTGTTTCTCTGGATGAAAAAGTCCTCAAAGGGAAACATTTTGCTGATGTAGAAGAGGTGAAACAAAAATGGTGAAAGGATTAAAAGACATCAAAATTAACGAGTTCAAAAATGGTTTTGAGCAGTGGAAAAAGCATCTCAATATGTGTACTGAATCAAACTGAGAGTACTTTGAAGGTGACTGAAGTTTAAACATGTAGGAATAAATACACATACTTTTTTAATAAATAAATTCCAGTTCTTTCTGGGTCCCCCCTAGTACATATCCTTATGTACCTGGCAGTCCTAAAAGTTGAGATGAGAGGATCGAGAGTTAATATTTACTGTGGAAAAATGTACCTGAATCAGGTCTCATACTGTGAGTTTTACATCAATCAACTGAGGTATCAGATGTTACCCTCATTTTCGAGACAAGGAAACAAAGAAGCAACAAAATTTAAGAGTTTTCAAAAAGTTGCAAGGCCAGCGAGTAGTTAGTAGACTGACTCCCAAAGCTATAATTTTCTAATTCACTATACAAATAACAAATGTGTATTAGAGGAAATTTGGAGGCTAGAGAAAGGAAGAAAAAAAAATCCCTTTGTTACATTTTAGTCACTTATGTGGAATACGTGCGTGTCTGTGACTATGTGTGTTTCCGTGTGTGGACGTGCTTCTGTGACTCTGCTGTTCATGGTGCCTGTTAACCTGTGTCCTGTGTCTACATGCCATCATAAGCATTCTTCATGCCGTCTTCTTAGCAACCTTCACTTTAAATAACTGTGTTGTATTCTACATAATGAGAAAATCCTGGTGCTCCCTATGTTACTATTCTCCTACTTATCATCCCCCCTCTTTCTCTTTTCCCATGTTCCACCTTATAAATACTGCTGTGATGAATACCTCAACATTTGTCAGAATATAAGATCTTTTTAAAATCAGGATCTCACTCTGTTGCTCAGGCTGGAGTACAGTGGCACGATCACAGCTCGCCACTGCCTCAACCTCCTGGGCTCAGGTGATCCTTTTACCTCAGCCTCCCAAGTAACTGGGACTCCAAGTATGCACCACCATGCCTGGCTAATTTTTTTATTATTATTATTTACTGTAGAGATGAGGTCTCACTATGTTGCCCAGGCTGGTCTTGAATTCCTGGGCTCAAGCATTCCTCCCACCCGGCCTCCCAAAGTGCTGATATTACATGCATGGCTAAGATCCTTTCTTTAGACTAGAGTCTAATATGAGGCAAGTATTCTCAACATTTTATGATAAAAATGAGTGTTTTTGTTATAAAATCTCTTTAAAAGTATACATTTAAATTTATTTCATCCACATCAATGTATCTATCAAATCTGACAATATTGCAAAATGCAATATCTTTGACCTAGCAATCACATATCATATAAATATATTCACAGAAGTTTGCACATACAGACATATACTTATAAAAACATCATTTATAATGGCAGAAAACTAGAAATAGCCAAATTATTCCTCCATTGAAGATCAATTGAATAAACTAGGTTCTATTCCATAAAACGGAATTGTAAGCAGTTAAAGTGTAGCTCCGTTTGTACTGACGTGGAATTGTAAATACATTCATTTTTATTATGATCCTTTCGTGCAAAATAATAATAATGACAATCTCCATGTCCAGCAACACAAAGTTTAATAAAGTCATGACCCGATTAAAACTAGAAAGAGGAATGGTGAATCCTAACAGGAAAGTTGGGATTTTCATTCAAGACTGTTCTGCGAAGCTCTTGTGGTCAACTATGTCTCCTTCCACCTGTCAAAACATATCAACACAAATCAGACACAGCATTTGCACCTGTCCTTAGAATTATGCCAGTCAAGGTGGGATGTCTCTAACCATTCCCACAGCTCAGCAGCCAACCAAGAGTTCCAGCTCTTCATGACCTCAGAGGATCAGTGCAGCACAGGTCTCCACAGTCAGAGACATCCAAGCAAGAATCCTGACTTTGCCCCCAACACGCTGGATGCTCCTGAGCAAGCTCCTCACCTTCTCTGACTCCCCAACTGTTCCACGTGGCTGGAAACACCAGGAGGGTTTTTGTGTGGATTTACACTCACTCTCAGCACAGTGCCTAGGGCACAGTATATATAGAAAAAATACTAGCTGTTATCATCGGTCCTTCTCCCAGATTGTGTACATCGGCTTAGCCTCAGGGTAATCACAAATTAAAATGGAGATTTTAAAGGACAGCTCTTCTCTCCTAACTCACAGAGGACAGTGTCATGATTATTTGTTTAATCCTTGGCACCTTATCCTTGTAGACATCGGTAATATTTTTCAGAAAAGGTATATTTTGCAATGTAGTTATGACATTTCAGATTAGGGTCAAAGGTTCTTTTGATACACTAGGTAATTTTTTGTGAAAAAAAAGTGATGGTTCAGGACCTGGAATAATATTTACATCTTGACTACCCTTTGGTTTCACAGACCTTTTGGACTGAGACTTTTAGGGGGTTGTTTAGTTTTAGAAAATGTACTGTACTCGAATTCCCTTGTGTGATGACTTTACATGGCTGATGATTGTTAAGATGCCTCGTGGGTTGTGGAGACTTTTTGGCAAATACAGCCACAACGTGGATTCTCCATAGGACACATGATTTCTGTTTTGATCTGGCATTCCCCTGCTGGCAGCCCTCTTAGCAAATGTGTACAGCCACATGGATATAGAGATGGAGAGTCTACCTCGGTGTTTCCAACAAACGCTTAAATTCCTTTCTGTGTCTCTGTATGTGGATGTAGCCATCAGTATAATTCTATTAAATTGCTTATTTGCTGTTGTTAGCTATGTTTGGTTCATGCTGTACTTTCTTCCCTGTAGGGCGTGATAAGAGCTTTTTAAGTCCTATAATAATGCAGTCCAACGAAACCTATTTTTTGCCTGAGCTGAACTAAGCAATTTTAATCGCATACGTTTTAAAGACCAAAGTGCAGCGTTGAGTCCAAGTGGTTATGTAAGATGCGATGAAACGCGGCCACGATGTAATTACACCAATAGGAACGCATCCCCTCTCTGAATTTTCCTGGGTCAAGTGCATCCCTGCATTAATTGAGCCAGTGCGTAATTAATTACAGCAAATGAACAACAACAAAAAATAGTCCCTCTCCCAGGCCCCACGTTTCGGTGCTAAAATAAGATGTTCTGTGTTGAATTAGGTGGAAACAGCTACAGACTCTGACACGGAGAGCCGAGGCCTGCGGGAATACCACTCCGTGGGCGTGCAAGTAGAGGACGAGAAGCGGTAACTCAGCCCCCCAGCACGGGACGCCTCCCCCCAGCAAGCGCTGTGTCAGAAGCCTGGGCACAAGCTTCTAGATCACGCTGACCATCAATAATTCATGCCATCTGTGGAATGGATCATATACTTATTCTTTTCCATTCATAGCGTTCAAGTATAAATTAACATTCACCTTTGTCTTACTTCTGCATGGGTGAGGGAGCAATTATCTCTAAGGTTATTTGCCATCTAGGAAGCAGAGCTGATAGCCCTGAAAGTTAGAATTCCCCATCTAGGGAGGAGACAGGCTAAGCATGCATCAGACAGTGTCACTCACCTTACAGGGTTCAAAGTAAAAAGGGAGAGAGAGTAAAACAAGTTCAAGACCTTAGCCACACCATGAAATTGTTCTACTTCGAAAGAATTGCCTCAAAATGTGAAATACAAGATGTCCATGATAACTGTGTTATTTTTGTAACAAAGCAGGATGGTTATTTTAGTTTATATTTAAATTGCATATATTGTCAATTTTTTTATGAGTTAGGGTCTTACTCTATCACCAGCCAGAGAGCCATGGCACAGTCACAGCTCACCACAGCCTCAATCTCATGGGCTCAGGTGATCCTCCCACCTCAGCCTCCTGAATAGCTGGGACTATCATGCCCAGCTAATTTTTTTGGGTTTTGTAGAGATGAGGTCTTGCTATGTTGCCCAAGCTGGTCTCAAATTCCTTGACTCAAGCAATTCTCCCACCTCAGCCTCCCAAAGTGCTGGGATTATAGATGTGAGCTACCACACCCCACCACATATAGTCAGTTTCTTCACAACATAACTATTTTTTTTTAGTTGAAGTCTCACTCTGTCACCCAGGCTGGAGTGCAGTAGCATGCTCACAGCCACCCCAGTGTCAACCTGCTGGGCTCAGGTAATCCTTTCGCCTCAGCCTTCCAAGTAGCTGGAACTATAGTTGTGTGCTATCATGCCTGACAAATTATTTTATTTTTTGTAGAGATATGGTCTCACCAAGTTGCCCGGGCTGGTCTCGAACCCGTGGGCTTAGGCAATCCTCTCATCTTGGCCTCCCAAAGTACTAGGATGACAGGCTTGAGCCACCATGCCCGGCCAAAACAAGTCTTAATGAGAACATGGCATCGTGAGCCTCAGCTAGCACCCAGTGGTCTCTGTGCTGGGTGTTGTCCCTCAAAATGCCGGCTATCAGCAACCTATAAGGATTTGATTGCAAGAAATTCAGAAAACAGAGTACAGACTGCTACCCCGTTTCTAGGTTGACCTCAAAGAGCCTTCCGCACCTGGAACCTGGCTGGTGCCATCCACCCTGGATGCCTCCAGCAGGGAACATCAGTGTCCGTCATTAGCCAGATGCACTCACAGCTGTGGGCTGCCTATAGACTCCGTGAGTGCAGAGCCACACATGCAGCTACAACAGCTTGGGATAGGCAGATATGCACACAGACACACACACAGACACATAGATACACACAGACATAGGTACACATACAGACATGCACATGGACACACAGGTACACATACAGGGACACACAGACACAGACAGACACACAAATATACACATACAGAGACACACACACAGGTAGACAGAGACAAGTACACAGACAGACACACAGAGACACAGACACATAGGTACATACACATAGACACAAAGGCACAGACACAGAGAGATATACAGACACACACAGACAGACACACCTATAGACACACACACACAGATATATGCAGACACATACTGAGATATACAAATAGAGACACATTCACAGTCACCCACATCACACACAGAGACACACACTGTCATATACACAAAGACACACACCATGCACACAGACACACAGGTACAACTACAGAGACACACACAGACATACAGGTATACAGAGACAGGTATACATACAGACAGACACTCAAAGACATACACAGAGACACACAGACACACAGGTACACACACAGACACGCAGGTACACATAGAGGAACAGAGACACACAGGTACAGACACAGAGAGACATACAGACACACATAGTGATACAAACCTATAGACACACAGACAGAGATACATGCGGACACAGACACACATAGAGACACACTCACAGACACACACAGAGACACATGCCATACATACAGAAAATATCCCACACAAAGCCATACACGCTACATAGACACAGGCACACATATGACACAGAGAGGCACAGTACACAGAGAGACATATACACACCCCACACACAGAGATACACATCACACAGACAAAACACAGACACATGACACAAGCACGTATACAATCACATACACACATCATACACGCATACCCACACCACACACATGTACACATGCACACACCATACACGCACATCACACACACACAGACACACACTGTTCTCACCCAGCAGCATCAGTCTCCAACTCTAAGCTCCTGCCTGCTCATCGTTTCTGTAACTGGCTATGTGGAAGTGGATGACATTAAGAGAAAGAGCGAAAATGTTTTAATGCCGGAGTAGTGACCTGCATGCAGGAGTTGGCAGGAGCAGTGTTAAGTTATCCAAATAGGGGAAGCCGCGCAGGGCCTGTGTGTGGCCTGGAGGTCACTGGCCCTCAGGGGGACGTGAATGGTGTTCGCATACAGCACAGCACACAGCATCACCTCACGTGCTTGTGGCAGAGTGAAGTGGTGTGGACCTGCAGCAGGACTCTGAGGGGAAAGACGCCATCACCAACAGTGGTGTCTTGAAACACACTAGCTCTCCATGTGTCAAGTCTAAGCAGGCGTTGCTAACTCAAGTGTGTAGATCGATGTTAAAGTCCAGTTATTTGCAAAACCATGTTCTTTCGTAACTGAAGCCCAGCATGTCAGCTAGATAAAGCAACATGTTCTCTCCAAGTTTCTAGCTCGCTCTGGCCCAGATGTGTCTTGGTCATGTCAGCTAGATAAAGCACCATTTACTCCCCGAGTTGATAGTTCGCTCTGGCCTGGGTGTGTTTCGGTCAGCTCTGGGTGGAATCTTTTCACTCAGTCACCTAGAAAAACTACTATGTCCTCTCCCCCTCCTTTCCAGGCACGGGCGTTTCAAGCGCTCCAACAGCGTCACAGCCGCCGTCCAAGCTGACCTGGAGCTGGAGGGCTTCCCAGGACACGTCGCCACTGAGGACAAAGGCCTCCAGTTCGGCTCATCCTTCCAGCGGCACTCAGAGCCCAGCACTCCCACCCAGTATGGCGCGGTCAGAACTGTGCGGACCCAGGGGCTCTTCAGCTATAGAGAAGACTATCGGACGCAGGTGGACACAGCCAGCCTGCCCCCACCTGACCCTTGGCTGGAGCCCTCCATGGAGACCGCAGAGACTGGGAGGATGTCCCCGTGCCGCAGGGATGGCTCGTGGTTTCTGAAGCTGCTGCACACAGAGACAAAGAGGATGGAAGGCTGGTGCAAAGAGATGGAGAGAGAGGCTGAGGAGAATGACCTCTCAGAGGAAAGTAAGAGCTCAGGCATCTCCCGGGGCCATTGGGCACTGGTGGCCTTGCGGTTAAGCAGGTACCAGAGGGCAGCATCAGTGGGGAGAGGGCCTTCCTCCAGTACTTGGGAGAATGAAAATAAATGTGCTTGCTACCATAGCCTACTCAGTTATGAGAAAGCATATGAACACATGAAAAGAAAAGCAGTCGCTAACATACCGAACGGCAGTCCTGGTGTTTTGTGTGTTGTGTTTCATTTTTCAGATAGTTAGATACAAGATTGGTTATGCTCGCAATATTCTTGGTGGCATAGTTTATCTCATAGTTCACTTACCACTTGTCTTTGGTAAGTGGTTTCTAAGAAATTGTCGTGGCATTATGGCCAAGAAAAGTCAACGATAAGTAAAGAACTCGGCCGGTTAGCCACATGCCAGTGTGCCAGCTTTCTCATCTGGGTTGAGTGGGAGTCTATGTCATTTCTCTGACCATGTGTGGTCAGTGCAGAGCTGTCCCAGCCCTCAAGGTCTCATGCGGGTCTCTGCCTCTCCATCCCCTCCCATTTGTCTGAAGAAACCTGCCATCAGGACTATCCAAAGTTGTGTTCCCATCAGCGGCTATGTGTGATTTCTAAGCTTCTGCTACCTTTGTTTGTAGGCTAAGAATACAACTGCAAAATACTTAACAACAACGCTTGTCTTTAACAAAATACAGTTTTACAAGGGTATTTTGAATGTCTTGACAAATCATGTTTTTTCTAAACTTCTTTTTCTGTGAATTTCTTTGTATACTAACTAGTCCACTGTAAATTCTGAACTTCAAAAGGATAGTTGCTCTCCTTTGGAATTTGGCCCTGGATTCCATTTCTAAATGACCATAATGGAGCATGTCCGTAATCCTAGAAATGGAAGCGCTATGATAAAATTATATCAACAGTGACTTGCAAAGAACAGTGGCCTTGGAACTCGAGCAGGCTGAGAAAATCATGGGTGTGTTGATTTTCAGTTGTTGTAACTTGTGTAAACCTGTGAAGAAAGGGAGAGCCTGCCTTGAAGTGGCCATTTCTGTTCTTCTATATTTTTCCCTTGATTGCCAAATTCCACATGTTCTTCACCTGAGCTGGTGTTGGACACTGAGTATTTGGGAGGAGGTGTTGCCATGGCAATTTTTGACATTTGGCTGGCAGATGTCAACACAGCCATATTCACATTGTTCCCATGGCATGAGTTTACGTCATCTGTTTAGGCTATTTAATCAAGTGAGTGTGCACAATTTTGTTTTGTAAAAATCACTCATTTTCTACAGCATTTTTCCCTCATTGATATAAGCTTCAACTTGGCAAATGCATCTTCACTGTAAAAGGGATTTATAATTTTTATCACAGCACTAAAACACAGAAAAACCATTGCCTAAGTTGACACTAAATTCAAGTTAAATTGTCAGCTCAGTTTTGTGTATGCTAATGGGACATTCCTTCCTGAATTAGTAAAGATGTGAGACCTGAATGTTGACCAAGCAAGCTGTATATTCTTTTTTTTTAAGTTGGTGTCTTGTTCTATCACCCAAACTGGAGCGCAGTGGCACGATCACTACTCACCATAGCCTCAGCCTCCTGGACTCAGGTGATCCTTTTGCCTCAACCTTCCAAGTAGCTGGGACTAACAGGTCCACCACACCCTACTAATTAATTTTTTTAAGAAAAAAATTTTTTTGTAGATACAAGGTCTCTCTTTGTTGCCCAGGATGGTCTCTAACTCCTGGGCTCAAGCAAATTCTCCCACCTTGGCCTCCTGAATTGCTGGGATTACAGGTGTGAGCCACTGGTGCCCAGCCTAAAATATATGATCTATATCATGTGATTCCTCAATAAAATACTTTTGAAGAGGAGAGAGAGAGGGAATAAACTCAGAAGGAGCTAATATTTGTCAGGTCTAAGCCTCATAAAATGTCTATAAAATTTTATTCTATCATCATTTGAGTTTAAACCTTTCAGGACACATTCAAAAAGTTCTAGTCTCCTTCAAATGTGTAAGATATGGAGACATTTGTCATCGCTGTGTTTGTGTGCTAGCACAGAGTGATGCTTCCTTCTCCTTATCTTCTATGTTCTTTAGTATGTTCTTTCAACATCATTATTTTGTTCAAGGATTATAGTTTATAAAAAGATGCCTTTTTTAAAGAAAAGAATTATCTAAACCAGTACTTACTGAACACTTATAATATGCTAAGCTATGCCCCTTACATACTTTATTGAATGCTCATCCTATGTAACAGGTAGATACTATTGTCACCATTGTAACAATAAAGAGACTGAGGCTTTGAGAGGTTAGTATCTTGCCCCCAATCACATAAAGTGAAGCAGTGAGTAAGGACTCGAAGTCAAAGCATCCAATGTGTATGACTGTGCTTTCCCACGACTCTGGCTGGGGTTATTAACCCAAATGTCCCTTTGCTGGACATTCTCTTCTGCCTTACTTCCTCCCTGAGCCCTTTCATATTGCTTTCTCCTGCTGATTTAGAAAATATACAGCCCTATCCGTAACCATTTGTTTCATTCTTATCTACCTTGGTTGCAGCCTATTTGAGGTCCAAAGAGAATCCTCGAGCTGATGAAATGCATACTTAGGTTATCCTGCCTTCACCATTGGACAGTAAGAGGTAAAACTTGGAAGGAGGGAAATTCCTTCTCAAACTAAGAACGGGAGACCTGACGATTAAAAGGCTTCAGTGCTGACTCTTGTCTCAACAAAGCCTGCTTTTCTGTCACTGGAGCCATTCAAGAAAGCTCTATAAAGTACGCCATAAAAGTACTACATATGAAATTGAATTTGATGATGTATAAGGACACAAATCAACAATAAGATTCTAGAATCTTATGATACACCGTATTTAAGTTTCACTTCTTTATTATCATTTAGCATCTGGAAAATACATTTTTCTTTTTCTTTTTTTTTGAGTTGGAGTCTCACTCTGTTGCCCAGACTGGAGTGCAGTGGCCGCTCCCAGCCACCACAGCCTCGACCTGCTGGGCTCCGGCGATCCTTCCGCCTCAGCCTTCTAGTAGCCGTAACTACAAGCATGCGCTACCACGCCTGGCTAATTTTTTTGATTTATTGTAGAGATGAGGTCTCGCCAAATTGCCCAGGCGGGTCTCGAACCTGCAGGCTCAGGCAATCCACTCACCTCGGCCTCCCAAAGCGCGGGATTACAGACTGAGCCACTTAGGCCGGCTTGGAAAACACATTTTTCTTCAAGGTATAGTGAAAAGTGAATGTTTGGTACCTCTCAGTTATATTTCCCTAAGCACATGTTTGGGTTTGGGGGAATTTTTTTTTTTACATAACCATTTTTGAGCCATTGAGATCCTTTTCTAGACTCTTTCACTGATGTATGCATTCAGCAGATATTTATTAAATACCATAAAGCAAGCCACTCTCCAACAGACAAAAATGAAACCAAAGTTAGTAAGACATAATACAGAACCTGACTTTGATAATCTAAGAATGAGAGAAATAAGCCCAGGGCAAAACTGTTTATAGAAAGTGGAAATATTACGCTAGTGACAGTGGCTCAAGCCTGTAATCCTAGCCTGTAATTCCTGTAATCAGGGATTCGAGACCAGCTTGGGCAACTTAGTGAGACCTCGCCTCTAAGTAAATCAAAAAATAAGCTGGGCATGGTAGCGGGCCCCTGTGGTTCCAGCTACTTCAAAGGCTGAGGCGGGAGGATCACCTGAGCCCAGCAAGTGGCCATGAACGTGCCACTGCACTCCAGCCTGGGTGACAGAATAAGACTCCAACTCAAAAAAAAAGTGGAGCTACTAAGTATAATAGAAGTGCAGATAAAGATCTTTGCAGATAAAGTTCTTTAAGAAAACAGAAATCCAAGAGATGCTTTCAACAGGGAAAATTCTAAGAAGGCTCCATGAAGAGGTGACATTGTGTTGGGCCTTGAAGGATGGCTGGAGCTGGCTATGAAGGTAAACAAGGACGATAGAAAGCAGATTTGAGGGCACAAGCAAAGGTAGAAGCCTGGGGAGGAGGGGCCTCTTGGCCTTCCTCCTAAGAAGACCTCTGTTTCAGCACTGCCTCCCTGCTTGCCCATGGGAGGGTATGCACACCTGATCTCTAGGAGTCCCTTCTGGCTCGGTCATTCTCTATCTCCTTGGGAACTGGTGTTTCTCAAGGGACTGAACCACTCTGTATTTTCCCAAAGCTTTGCCTCTTGGCTGTCATTTGATTCTAGGCTCCTCGAATATAGTGACCATATTTGAAACATTTATGATCCACTGACCGTGCCTAACACAGGGCCTGACATAAAGTGCTCTGCAAGCCAGAATTGGGAGGATAAAAGAGAAGATGGAAAATATGGGCAGTCTTAAAAACACAGCGTCCAAAATCCCAAAGAATCATCCACTTGTCCTTGGGTACACAAGCCAGGAAATATCTTGCGAATACTGCACTCTGTAGATACCTGCTAAGTTTGTTGATTTTGCAGGGTTTTCTCCACTGCTGTTTAATCCTAAATGTAACTGTATAAGCCTTGAACACAAAGAACAGACAATTGATACACTTGATACTTTTTGTGATTTTCTTAATTTCTTAAATTGCCCAGAAAGCTTCAATTTTTTTTTTTTTTTTTTTTTTGGACAAAGATGTCAAAATACTTATGTATCTCATTTGTGTTCTTTGCCCATAAAACTAGCACAATATTAATCAAGTGCTGATATTTCCCTAGCAATGTTTAAAAAGTAAGATAACCTTCAATTCTAGTCCTAATTTTAAAAACAGATACAGGGTTATTAGTTACAGCAATTTTTAAAATAAAGATTAAATTAAATGACTTATTGGACCAAAACTCCGAGCTCTGAATATTGAAATTTCCATTACTTGAAATAATTTTTGCCCAAACTATAATTTTATAATCACAGTTCATTGAACTGATTGATTCTAGATTCATTCAATATTCTATGGTTAATAAAAAACTATCATGAACCCAATCAATACTGGTGTACATTAAGTTATATTATTGCAGACTCCCTATTGTTAATGTATAGAGAGAAGTATTTTGAAGAGATTGTAAATGATCACTAGGGTAGCGTTTGGGGATTTTTGTATTAATTATATTAAACCAAATGGGTAAATGGCATAAAGGGAAAAGAAAAGTTAGTGTGTTTTCTGTAACAAAAGAAATAATTCCAATGCTACAAAGATTGTGTACAGTAAGTCCACTGAGACATGAGGGTACACATAGAGAGATGGAACCTTTTGAATGGCATTGGAAAGTCCCTTGTCCCAAACAACTCCTCCAAAGCAGCTAATAATCTAAATGTTTACCAGATTAGATGCCATAGACAAGCTGAGGGGAGTGTTAGTGATTGGCTCATTTAAGGCCTCC